AATTCACCGCGACCAAATGCACTGATGCTGGACTAAATAAATTCACCGCTACCAAATGCACTGATGCGGGACTAAATAAATTCACTGCTACCAAATGGATTGATGCGGGACTAAATAAATTCACTGCTAACAAATGGACTGATGATGGACTATATATATTCACTGCTACCCAATGGACTGATGATGGACTAAATATATTCACTGCTACCAAATGAACCGATGCTGGACTAAATAAATTCAATGCTACCAAATGGACTGATGATGGACTATATATATTCACTGCTACCCAATGGACTGATGATGGACTAAATATATTCACTGCTACCAAATGAACCGATGCTGGACTAAATAAATTCAATGCTACCAAATGGACTGATGCTGGACTAAATAAATTCACTGCTACCAAATGCACTGATGCTGAACTATATATATTCACTGCTACCAAATGGACTGATACTGGACTAAAAAATGCTGGATTTTTTGTGTGTTTGTATGTTTGCTGCCTTTCTTAACAAAGTTTCTCGTTTACTATGTCGTTTAACAAGGGAATTAACGAAGTGGATAGCATCATATACAACACAGTATGTACCTATACATCTCTTACATTTAATATAAAACACAGTATATATATACATCTCTAGCACTTAATGTTTGTTTACCCATGAAGTTTTAATTAACCTGGAATATGTGCAATTACTGAAAACCGAGACATGAACCTGAGATCGAAACAACTGAACAAGTGCATGACCATCTAAGTTACGTTTTACTTTTTCTCACACCAAACCAACTGTACAAATATTTATTTAGCCAAATAATAGCAGAAAAATAGTAAAATGTTAAAAGAGTATTCAGTTAAAAATGGCCTGGTAGGTCTGATGGTTAGGGACCCTAAATCTGTGTGTCGCTAGATTATATCCCATCACCGAACATACTCGCCCTTTCAACCATGGGAGCGATATAATGTGATGATTAATCACACTTGCATTCATAAAGAGTAGCCGAAGAATTGGCGGTGGGTGTTATTGACCAGCTTCCTTATTTTAAGTCTATCACTTCAAAATTTGGAAAGGCTAACGGAGATGGCTCTTGACTAGCTTTGCGAGAGATTCACTAACAAACATTCAATCAAAAACATTTTATATTTTAAAACTTTCCCCAATGGAATATTTTAGTGTATAAATTAGTTATACTTACGCCCTAAGTAATTAAATTAATTTACTGATTAATTATATTTATGTTATAGTAGAATAATCCTTCCTTTTATTCCAGAATCATGCGCAAAACTACACAAATGGCTATCTGCGCATAGTAATCCTTAATTGTGAACTGACAGAACACAAAAAACGTGGTAACTACGGGCAACATTCGGTCTACTTATGATCGAATAATGACTGTCACTCTTAAAGCGCACACATGTCCCGGATCGAGATTTTGCTGTAAGGTCGCCACCCACAAACCCTCGGATTAAGAGTTTAGTTCATGCCAGGCCTAACATTTGGAATAGAAAGATTGATTACGTCAGCACATGAATACAAACTTTAACACCAAACACAGTAATGACATCAGTTAGTTCAAGAACTTCAACGGGCCGAAACTGCGGGAAGTTTCGGCTTCTGTATTGATGAGGCCTTATTGAGACCCCCTCACTCTTTCATCCAAGAGGCATCTGCAGTCTATTAAACTTCTCGAGCCTACTATGACCACACTGCCTAAAGTTACACTGAAAAAGCATGGTTGGGATAGTTTGGAATTTCGTGCAAAGCTACACGATGGCTATCTGCGGTAGCTATCCCTAATTTAGCAATGATAGACTAGAGGGAAGGCCAACACCAGACACCGCCAACTCTTGCGCTACTATTTTACCAACGAATAGTGGGATTGATAGACACATTATAACGCCCCCACGGCTGAAAGGGTGAGCATGTTCGGTGACCGGGTTTCGAACCCGCAGATTGCGAGTCGAGTGCCCTAATCACTAGGTCATGCCAGGTCAAGAAAACATGGAATCAGTTGTTTGAAATTTACCAGAAGTCGTCGACCTTGGATGTGTGACGCGTTATATTTCAATGTCTGTCGATACTGTGGTTCGGACGAATGTCGAACTACTCTTGTCTTCCTCTTCTGCATCTGTCTGTCTCCTTGTTTTAAGTACGTTTTCACGTAGGTATCTAACAAACACAACCGTTGTGTAATTTCATTAATATCTCACTCATTTGCACGAGAGGGATAATTAAAAATTTGAGTGTATTATTTATGAATAACAATTAACAAGTGAAACGTTACAGAATTAACCTGGTGAAACATTGTGTAGTATTAAAAACTTTTGACTTTTGCTAAATAAAAGCTCATTGTTACTCACCCAACAAAGTTCATCCTAAAAATAAGTTTAATTTAAGGATTTCTGTTGTTTTTCAGTTAGTGAAACGACAAGATTAATTAATAATCGGGTGGCGTAAAGAAAAAATAAACAATGCAACTACAAAACAGACGTGTACCACCTGGCCACACACCATAAGGTGAGTAATTATGAAATGTGCCCTGGTTTCTGAGGTACTGGCGGAAGTAGGACCCAAGTTGCATTGGAGGTACACCATCTATCCAGTTTATATATATATATAACAATAAAATATACTATTTACTCCTGAATATATATATATATAACAATAAAATATATTATTTACTCCTGAATATATATATATAACAATAAAATATACTATTTACTCCTGAATATATATATATAACAATAAAATATACTATTTATTCCTGAATATATATATAACAATAAAATATATTATTTACTCCTGAATATATAACAATAAAATATTCCAAACAAAGTTTAAATAATAGACCTTTAAAGACCAAGTATTTTGACGACGACGATTTCTTAAAGTAAATAACTGATATAACACTTGGTGACACAAACAACAAAGTATACTTCGTGACACAAACAACGAAATATACTTGGTGACACAAACCACGAAATACAATTAGTGACACAAGGAACAAAATATAATACGTGACACAAAGAACAAAATATAATAACCCGTAACATTTAACTATTCTGAGATTGATGATTATAGATTCTAAAGTTACGGCTCTGTTTAATAACGACATTCAGCTTTTAAAAATCTTATTAAACAATCTAAAAAATATAGTTTCGTTTGAGTTTACTTATCCATTATTAGTACTCCTTTACTAGTTACTGTTTTTTACAGTAAGGAAGACTGAAAAAAAAGTGGTAAGACGTTTTGACCACTGGTTCGATCTGTTTTAAAAAAAATCTTCCTTATTGTAAAAGCTGTAACTTCGCGTCGTATTTCTAATAGTTCTTATGCTCTGCTAACGAGAGTAATGCGTCACCTGAATGAAAGCTGTTTGGCGGATATGTCGTCTCAGGTCGACAGTTTATTAGGAAAAGAACGTCGTTCAAAGAACTGTCTTTTGCAACAATGAAGATTACGTGTACAATAACATATTATTCAGAACAATCCAGATATGCAATTTCAACTATACCAGGAGGTTGTCCTGTTGAGTTTGGTCTCAACTGGCGAGCGCATATGACTTGAACTTCAAGTTGACCTTTGGTCATCAAGAATCCCAGTTTGACGTCTCCTAACGAGTCCGCTAGATGGCACCAGAAAGCAAATAAATAAATATATATTTTAGTACATACTGTAGCTTTTCCTTACTTTGGGTATAGTGGAGATAAATAAAGTATGAAATATTGTTGTTTTAGAATAATTTGTAAAATATTTTCACATACATGACAATAATAATAATATACAGAAAGATATTACAGCAGTTAGGTAAACTTAAACCTCTGAAGGGAAGAAAGCAGACCTTAAAAGCACCATTTAACCTTAGATGTATTTCGTGCAAAGCTACTCGACGGTTATCCGTGCTAGCCATCCCTAATCTAGAAATGATAAACTAGAAATAAGGCAGCAAGTCAGTACCACTTGGTAAGACATTTCGTTAGGCAGTTAGTTAATACCATCCTCCGCCAACTCCTGAGTTACTCTTTTACCAACGAGAAGTAGGATTGGCCGTGTCATTTTATCACCACCACAGCTACAAGGGTGAGCATGTTTGGCAATGGCTATCTGCGCTATCCGTCCCTAATTTAGCAGTGTAAGACTAGAGGGAAGGCAGCTACTCATCATCACCACCCACCGCCAACTCTTGGGCTACTCTTTTACCAACGAATAGTGGGATCGATCGTCACATTATAGCGCCCCCACGGCTTAAAGAGCGAGCATGTTTGGTGGGACGGGGATTCGTACCCTCGAACCTCACATTGTGAGTCGAGCGCCCTAACAACCTGATCATGCTGGGCCCACTTATGGTATAATAGACACAGGAGACCAATACGTTTGTCTGCAACTGTATAGATACCATATGCCACCTATTATCAAAGACTATATCTAAAACAGAGTAAATAAAATTATAATTAAAACAGGTCACGACAACAGGACTAGAGGGGGGTGGACGAATATGTAGAATGTATTTAATGAAGTTGGCATTTCAGCCCCCCTTAAACATTATTGTGCGGAAGGATTCACGCAGTTTGCCTATTAATCAGGGGTTCGTTAGTAATTCGATAATTAATTTTGATTTTAACACAAATACGCGCAGTGTATTCACCACAGGGATCGAGTCGCGACTTATAGCGACCATCAGAAGAAACCGGATCAATAAATTCAAGAACAATCCAGTTTGCTAGATTAGGTAACTGTTAATTGCTAAAAAAAGGAATGTTTCCATCTGTCACAAATCGGCCTCCAGGTGACTAAATGGTAAGTCTGAGGGTTTCAATACTCACTGGGAGCGGTGCACAGATAGCCCATTACACCTACATTAAAATATAGTCTGGGCATCTTCGACATAATTTCAATTGACAAGTTTACTGTAAATTTATCTAACATTTCTTTGTAGCACTTAAATTCAACTTTAACCAAAGGTTCGCGTGACATAACAGATTAATTGTTAAAGGAAGTTCTTCAGATTATCTACCTTCGCTGAGTTGGATATTCCTGGAATAAACTTGCCCAGGTCCTCGACGTATACCGTTTGGTCCAGTCATCATTACTGGAACTTCATTTTCTGGAGTTAGTTCGGGACTAGACGTCATGTAGTCTTCTGCTGTGGTTATCAGCAAATAGCAACCGTGAAATATCTAAAAATATTCTAGAGTATTTTGAGTTCAGAGCCACGTTTTCTCGTTGACAAAAACAAAACGTAATTTAAATATTACCAAAAATAACAATATTATAAGAGCACGGATAAGCTTGGAAATCTTGATTTAAATCTGGATGCATTTGCTTATCTGTTTAACTTATAAGTAATATCATTTCTTAACCACGTAAGCATTGATCCTTCGCTAAATAATACAGGAATAACGTAGATTTAATAAGTTTTTTTAGATGTACACAGCTCCAACTACGTTACCCAACTTATATAATACATACTACTAGTCTTGCATAGAGGACATGAAAATAGGAATCATGTTAGGGTTAGGAATCATGCTAACACGGATACTGATGTTAGGGTTAGGAATCGTGCTAACACGGATACTGATGTTAGGGTTAGGAATCGTGCTAACACGGATACTGATATTAGGGTTAGGAATCGTGCTAACACGGATACTGAAGTTAGGGCTAGGAATCATGCTAACACGGATACTGAAGTCAGGGGGTAGGAATCGTGCTAACACGGATACTGAAGTTAGGGGGTAGGAATCATGCTAACACGGATACTGAAGTTAGGGTTAGGAATCATGCTAATACGGATACTGATGTTAGGGTTAGGAATCATGCTACACGGATACTGATATTAGCGTTAGGAATCATGGCTAACATGGATAATGATATTAGCGTTAGGAATCATGCTAACACGGATACTGATGTTAGGGTTAGGAATCATGCTAACACGGATACTGATGTTAAGGTTAGGAATCACGCTAACACGGATACTGATGTTAAGGTTAGGAATCACGCTAACACGGATACTGATGTTAAGGTTAGGAATCATGCTAACACGGATACTGAAGTTTGGGCTAGGAATCATGCTAACACGGATACTGATGTTAAGGTTAGTAACCATGTTAACACGGATACTGATGTTAGGGTTAGTAATCATGCTAACACGAATACTGATGTCAGTGCAGGGCCACCACATATAATCAACATGCATGATGTTTGTTGGACTCGGTGATTGCAGGTTTGTAAAAGCACCACCCCACTAAAACTACTCTACTCATCCTACCTAGACCCACAGACCTCTGGTCTTTATCCGATTTAAGGCTTAGCGTCCGAGATAACTTCAGCTTGACCAGTTTTGCCAGTTTCTTCTGCTCTCCAGAAGTTCCTTGAAATGATAAAATTGACGTATTACGACTAGATATAGTAAGATTAACGAATCAGATTTATTTATACATGTTCATAGCTAGTTCAAATAGTAAAATCTAAGATCTCAGTTAGATATACAGTCATAAGTTCTTGAAATAGTAAAACTGACGAGGCACGGTTAGGTATATATAAAGTTATCGATTCTTGAAATAGGAAAGTCGACGAATCACAGTTAGATATACAAAGTTGTAGGTTCTTGAGCTAGTAAAATTGACGAATCACAATGAGAAATACGAAGTCCTAGTTTTTAAAATGAGAAAGTTGACGAAACACAGTTGGATATATAAAAAGATTGGTTCTTGAGTTGGTAAAACTGAATAATCGTATTTTTATTAACACACTGTTATTGTTCAAAGCAGATGTTGTCGATTTATTCAAATATGTAAAATGATAAACAAAAAAAAATTTTTATTGGAAATTTCATTTAATTAATTTTTTGAATAAAACTATTATTCAATATTAGTCAAGCATTATATAAACTTTCTGAATAATTTGTTTATTTTAGATGTTCGCGCAAAGCAACATAATGGGTATATGTGCTATAGCCGTCCATATTTTCAACTGGTAGTCTATAGGGAAAGCAAACAATTAGCGTTACCCACCGTCAATTCTTTAGTGGGATTTGACAGTCACTCTAATAACGCACATACGGCAAAAAAAAAAAGTATGGAGCGCTTTTTCTGTGCTAACGGAAAGCGAATTATGGATTTTCGCACTAACTAACTAAACACCCGACTTCTCTTTTGAACAAAATCTCTATAATAATTTTAGAAGCAACGAAGTTTGTTTTTGGTTTTATTACATAATGAGGAATTGAACTGGATAGTTAGTTAGGCCTAACACATATAACATAGACAAATATTTTTGTTCGAACAGTTCCTACAATACTTCTGAAAACAACAAATATTGTAGCCTAAGAATATTATAACAAAAAAGTAATTAATTTGATACATAAGCTTTATGTCAGATCGTTACAGCACGAGCAAATATTTTTGTTTTCCAAATACTGACAGCTTTATTTTAGTCTTAATTGTTTACTTTTCAGGCCTTTAGTTTCTTTGGAACAATAAAATATGAAGTAAAATACTATTATTAGATTAATAACCGAGGTTTGTTCATAGGCCAGTCTTTTCACAATATAAAGAATCTGTATTCTAAGAAAACATGAACTAAGATTGGTTATAATGTTGAAATTCTATATTCAGGAATCTATAATTGTTCATATGGCATGAACTTTACATACCAAAGTCGGGAATCTGGACTTGTTCATATAACATGAAATAAGTCTACGTAACAATGTCGGGAATCTGGACTTGTTCATATGACATGAAATAAGTCTACATAACAAAGTCAAGAATCTGGACTTGTTCACATGACATGAAATAAGTCTACGTAACAAAGTCAATAGTCTGGACTTGTTCATATGACATGAAATAAGTCTACGTAACAAAGTCGGGAATCTGGACTTGTTCATATGGCATGAAATAAGTCTACATAACAAAGTCGGGAATCCGGACTTGTTCATATGACATGAAATAAGTCTACGTAACAAAGTCGGGAATCCGGACTTGTTCATATGACATGAAATAAGTCTACGTAACAAAGTCAAGAATCTGGACTTGTTCATATGACATGAAATAAGTCTACGTAACAAAGTCGGGAATCTGGACTTGTTCATATGACATGAAATAAGTCTACATAACAATGTCGGGAATCTGGACTTGATCATATGACATGAACTGAGTCTACATACCATAGTCAAGAATCTGGACTTGTTCATATGACATGAAATAAGTCTACGTAACAAAGTCGGGAATCTGGACTTGATCATATGACATGAACTGAGTCTACATACCATAGTCAAGAATCTGGACTTGTTCATATGACATGAACTGAAGTCTACATACCATAGTCAAGAATCTGGACTTGATCATATGACATGAACTGAGTCTACATACCATAGTCAAGAATCTGGACTTGTTCATATGACAAGAACTAAGAGTGGATCTAATGTTGAATTGAAGCATTAAATAGTGAGTTTATGAACGTTACTGGAAATACGTAATATCCTTATTCTCACCGTATACATCACTATTTTATTGATGTGACTCCTTTGGATGCATTATGTACATCCTTACCACCAAAAGGTGTTCCTTCCTATCAAAGGATCTCTGAGTTTCAACCTCGGTTTTTACCCCTGGTGACCTAACCCTACAATACTGATACGATCTCACAGGGTCACAAACATATTTGTACAACAGATAACTCTTGGATCTAACACTCTGTTGGTTACAGGACCCTTAATAACATTCACAAATGGAAACAAAAATACAATCAGTATTGCAATTAAGCCCACGAATCATCTCTGAGGTTCTATATGTATTTCACTTAAAAACTCAATGACTATATCCACATTTCTTTGGCCAGTACTTTCAACTGAGGGTTGTAACAGGGGTCTCATATGATTACCCATTCTTTACGTAGTCCTCTCTAGTATTTAAAAACATTTTAAGAAGACAATGATTTAGTGGATTAACTCGCATACTTTCAACGTCTGTGGAAGATAAGGTCATCTCACGTTCAAAGTAAAGTTTTAAATTTAGTTATTCAAAACTTTCTTCAAGATATAGTTTTAATTGTTTGTTTGTTTGTTTGTTTTGAATTTCGTGCAAAGCTAAGCGAGGGCTATCTACGCTATCCGTCCCTAATTTAGCAGTGGAAGACTAGAGGGAAGGTAGCTACTCATCACCACCCACCGCCAACTCTTGGGCTACTCTTTTAGCAACGAATAGTGGGATTGATCGTCACATTATAACGCCCCACGGCTGAACTAGCATGCACTAGAAAAATATTTTGTTCTATATTTTTTGATTAAAATCTCTTGTTAAAATGCTATCCAAAATCCTGCCTTCTGAATGCTTAAAACCTCTTCTGTCGGAAATCCTTCTTTTTGTAATTACTGTTTTTCTTGGTGGAAATGCTATCAGAAATCCTGTTTCCTTCTCTTTAAGATCTATTGGTTAAAATGCTATCCAAAATCCTGATTCTTACTGTTTAAGTTATCTTGGTCAAAATGCTATCCGAATCCTGCCTTCTATTGCTTAAGATCTGGTGGTAAAAATGCAATCCGAAATCCATGACTTCTAATGAGATTACTATGGTTAAAACAGTATCCTAAATCTTGTATAATTATATACACCTGGAAAAAAGTTAAGCACCCCCGTGTTTTTTTCAAGTGATTCAGGTTCGACGTTCTTGTGACTGATTATAAATTACCATTCAATCTAAACGTGTTTATCAAATGAAATTATGCATTATTGGG